TAGTGCGGCGAGACGGCTGCAGCGTAACTCCATTACCTCACATATAATCAGAGCGTAGACAGCTGACTGGCTGATTAATGGCTTCAACCTGGCCGGCACGCCTGCACGAAGATGCAGGCCGAGCGCAGAGCTGCTATTAGTGGCGCTAGCGATACGAGTTTAGAATAAACAGAATCAACAGGCCTGTCAACAACACAGCCGCATCCGAAACAAGCACCCAAACCCGTCCACGGCGCTTCAGAAAATAAAAGACAACAAAACAAACTTTTGCTTTTTTGGAAAAAAAAAAAACACATCAGGTAAACTGGGTCATTTATCAAAATCTTAAACTGGATTTTATGACTGTTCAGATAAAAACAAGTGAGAAAAAGCTCCTATTATTTCATAAATAAGTAATGTAGCTAAGTATTTGTTTCTGGGACGCGCACTGATGATATGGGTTCGTGCAAATATTGATATTAGGAGCAAAACTGGAAAGGCAGTGTGTGCACAAAGGTCATTCAAATGTTTGAAGTTCCAGATTTGCCTCAGCTTTAACCACAACTGCTGTTTGTCTACGCCGACTGCAGCCAAATGCAAAGAAAGGCCCATAAAAAACGTCTGGTCACAGGCTTTTAGTATTATTATTATTATTTTTGTGAGCGTGTGTGTGTGTGTGTGTATGAACGTAGAAACCTGAATTTCATTAAGTTCTAAATCTGAAAAGGGCTTGCTGATTAGGTGGTTTCAATTTTCTGTTTCAATCTGCTGCTATCTCCAGAATCAGTGTCTGGCAGCAGAAATCCCCACCAGTAATGTCTCCTGCACATAGATGGCATCAGCGCACATGACTGCCAAATTCCTTCCACTTAATTATCTCTGAGCGATCCTTTTTATGTTGAGGTCATGGGAGGGAAACTATGAAATCAACCATAAAACTGCTCAAACTCACAATTATATTTTACACTGAGAAAATGTATTTTTCCCCTCCCCCCTCTGAGCACAGGGTGTAACTTTGCCTCATTTTGAGCATATGTATTGTAATTTTTCCTTCGTTATTCAAATGGAGGATTTATTGCTCTTATGCCTCAACATAATAGGATTAAAGATGCAACTTTTCTTCTGTTTTGAACTATAGCAAAGTTCTTCCAAGAAGTAAAAGTAGTAAAGCAAGACACAGCTCATAAAGTACGATTATCCAGCAGTCAGAAGCCAGCTCTGAGCATTAATGGGCAAAACGCATCTCCGTATTCTAACCAAAACTTCATCTGGAAGGAGAAGGAGGTCAGATATGTTGAGTGAGACAACCTCAGCTGACCAGAGTGAGGCCGAGGACGGCGGCGGCAGCCCGCTCCTCTGCGGTCGCAGAAAGCAGCTTCCTTCTGGTAACAAGAGGAAAAAGCGTTTATATCCAGAGAAACTGCAGCTGCTCAGGAACTTATGACTTTGTGACCTCAAAGGGTTCCAGAAAAACATCCCCAGCGGGCGGGAAGAGCAAAGAAAGAACAGCACGATTCTTTCACACTTCTGAGACATCCAAGAAAACTGATTTTACAATTCAAAAATAAAATTACTACAATGAATACATAAAAACTAGCATGTGACGGTGCAAGAAGAATTCAGGCTTTCATGAATCATACCCACTAAAATGCCTCTGTAACATCACAGCTTGATGTTCAAAAATGAATTAACGATAAAATCCATGAATACTTGTGACCACCTCAAACAATGCATAGAAAACTGTCAGCCTTATTCAAACACAAAATATTGCATCGTTACACGATAAGTAATGCTTCTCTATCATTTCTGACGTCAGTCTGAACGAAGCTCACCCACTCCACACTGTCATCTGTGAGACGTTTGAGGGTTTCTTTACCAATCTTTAGTCACATTGATTACTGCAACAGCGGCTCAAAACAAACAAAGCTGCAGCTGATCCAGAACGCTGCTGCTGGCGTTCTGACTAAAACCAGGAACATGGAGCACATCAGGTCTAAAGTCCCTACTCTGGCTCCTGTAGCTCAGAGAATAGACTTTAAAATACGGCTGTTATTTTATAAATCACTGAACCGTTTAGCACCACAATGCGTAAAGATCTGCTGCTGTTGTCATAGCAACGTTACAGACCCCTCAGGTCTTCTGGTTCTGCTCTGCATCCACAGAACCAGAACCAAACATGGAGAAACAGCATTCAGCTTCTATGCACCGCAAGTCTGGAACAAACTTCCAGAAAACTGCACAACAGCCAAAACACTGAGTTCCTTTAGATTTCGACTAAAAACCCAGCAGTTCAGAGTTGCTTTTGAGAATCAATGAAACATTTAACGGAGGCGCTTAACTAAATGTAATGTTTTAATTGTTGAGTTTTATGACCTTGTAATGTAAAACACTTTGAAATGCCGGGCTGCTGAAATGCGCTACACTAATTTAAGTAATTGATTTGATTTTAAGTCGCTCCACAGCATTTAGGGAATCAACACTCAATTTAACAGTCAGTGGCTTCAGTCAGGAGAACAAGCTAAATGTCTGAAGAGAGCAGGACACCTTCAAAAGGTTTTCTCAGTATGTCTGAAAGTGGTATTAAATATCTGTGTATGCGTTATAAAAACATGGGGTGTCTTGGGAATAAACACATACAACATACTAACTTTGTCACCTGCATAAACATTTTGCTTTAATTCTAAAAAGTTGAGTAAAACTCTTTTGTATCTCTTTTGATTTTTTTTTTTTTTAAACACACAGTGTGACGTCACCTCCAAATTAATAATGGCTTCTCAAGGCAGGAGGGCTAGAAAGCGTTACATTGAACGCAGTTCCTCACTAGAAAAAAGATGGGAAATAATGATGCATAAATAATAATGACAGGACTCTTCAGTGCATTTTTCATCATCACTGAAAACTTTATGATTTAATCTGTTAATCTGTTTTATGAAGACAATAGCTTCTTTAGAGTCTGACAACAATGCTGGATAAGCCATGTGTGTATAATAGAGAAAATCAGCATGTTATTAATCATCAACTGAGCAGTCAGCACTAGAATATAACTTTATGATTTAACATCCATTCCTTCATTATTGACTGTGTAGAACAACTTGTTTGTGGAAACTCACATCTTCATAAATAACCGATGAGGAAGAGCTCGCCAGCATCCAATGAGATCATATTTCCTGCAAGGTTTTTATAAACACATGCAGATGTATCGTCACCATGACAATATTAATGTCTAACGTTCTTCAGGCACATATGACATCAAGTGCAATTAAAAATGACGGCTGTAGCTCCGACGGTATGTTCTCCCTCACCTCAGAAAACACTTTCTGGCCAGCAGCGGGAAACATTTTGAAGGCTTCTGTTTAGCCAGGGTCTAATATCAACACAGCGGCGGCGGACTTTAATCCAAAACTATGAAGGCTGATGTGTCACTGACACAAATAAACATCGCCAGAGGCCACAAATACCTACCTCTCATCCAGTCGGCTGAGTGGCAGCTGAACATCTGCCATGTGCATCACTAAGCAAACACGGAGGAAATCCTTGTAAAGGAGAAAAAAAGCCAGAGCCGTGACCATATTTTCTGCTTGTGTTCCTTCCAAAAAAGATGCTGCAGGACGGTGGAGATTCAGAGACATTACTATATGCAGCCTGTTGCTGTGGCAGCCTTGGGTTGAGACCGCAGCTCTCAGGAGGCTGAGGCCTCTTACATCTGGACAGCACTAAAGCAGCTGGATGTAACTCAAAAATAATTGCTTCCTCTACAGTGTCCAGGAAAACACCAAGTGACTGCCATGTTCACCGCTCCTCCCTGCAGGGAAGGCAACTAAATCAACATTTTTAGACCATTTATCATCCGCTGACTTTGTAGCCTTTGTTTGGACTTCGTGAAAGCAACAAGAAACTCAGAGATAGTCGTTTTCTACACAATGAAGAGCTGCGGAAATCAATGAAGCTTCAGCATTAAAGGCTACCTTTTTATATATTTTCTTGATTAAAGGTGAAAAAGAAGGTCACAACCCATTTATGCTTAAAGGGAACCTAATGTGTTTCCTTTTAAACATGATAGCAAACATAAAACATGCTCATTACATTTTGTGTGCAAAATCATCTCAGATAAAAAGATTTCAGTCTACTTAGTTCTGCCCACTTTGAGCTCCTTTCAGAATGAAATATTTTAGGGCTCTGTCACTTTTATGCAAATAAGCCGTTTCTGGCCACGCCCCCTAACTCTGTGTTAGTACTCTCACCTTTAAACATGTGAAAATGACTTTAAACACATCCAGTACACCTTCAGCAAACGGTTTCCAAATGGTAACATCAAAACACGTCTTTTCCAGCAGCCATTAAAGAAAGGGATGAAATGCATGTAAACATGTAGTGAATATTTGTGTATTTCGCTTCTTTTGCTCAATATTTTTTTGTCTATTTAATAATTTCTGCTAGGTTTATGGATTTATTGACTGTTTAAAGCAATGTTTGTTCTTGTATTGAGAAAACTATCACTGCAAAAATGTTTTTTTAAATATCTCCTTAAAAGCATTTTAAACAATAGAGACAGTATAACAGAAAATTTTAATTATTTTTTTAAGTTTACTTTTAAAAACCTGTTTTTATATTTTTATACAAACCAATGCTTAGCCATGCAATGCCATAAAAAGACACCTGTCATTTCCTTTGCTCCTTCTTTTAAGACAAATTTCTCCCTTGGGAGACAAATGCGGGGGCTGGGCTCCACTTCTGTTGCTAGGTGACGGGCCGGGGTTGCTAGGTAACGAGGGAATGTCAGCATTGGGAGGTTTTTGAAAGGGCTCTTTTTGTGGACACCAAAAAACATTTACTTTCTGCCAGAAAACAGACAAGTGTTTGTTTTTTTGTTGTTTTTTGTTAGCGCTTTGAATGTTTCTGGAAGCAGTAGAGACTGAAATGGAAGAATAAAAATGTGCAAAAGTGAATTTTTCATAATAGTGCCTTTAATAAGCCTGGATTCTTATTGTTTGTGGACATCAGTGTAATGTTTTTATCGGTACCGTGAGCGAAGCGATGGACCCAGTAGTAGCAGAAGTCCACTCCGAGGAAGGTGAGCCACCAGGTCCATGCAGAGTCCCAGGGCAGCTCCAGCAGGTGGAAGTGGTCCCACACGTACAGGTAGGCCGACAGCTCACAGCCTCTCATCACCAGCCTGCAGGACGGACACGGCAGAGCTCCGCTTCAGCAAAAACACAGGGTTTGTTTTCCCACAGTGAGCAGCTGGAGGGTTAACGGTAAGACAGTGGGTATGTGGTACGTTTTGGTGTGAACAGGCAGATGCTGCCACAAAGGACTGTAGAGGCAGATGTTCATCTTCCAGCACATCGCGTGCTAAATGGTTCAGTCAAAGTCCAGGCCTAATAAACTCAGTAGAGAATCTGTGGAAAGGTTTTCAAAACGTATCTGACTTACTGCCACATATGGAAATGAAATGAATAGGATTTTTTTTTTTGTTTATCAGAAAAGGGTGGTTCTGACAGAAAAATGAAGTCGGACACGAGTCGCATAAAGAAAGAAAAAAAAAATCGGATTTGAGTCACATTTGCCTTCTGAGTAAACAAAACCAAAAAGTACTTATTCAGACTTTACCATGTTTCATTTTAATTACAAATTTGCATAAACATGAAGTAAATTGTTGCTTCCTGATTTATTTATTTTTTTGACAGTAGCCATACCTTTGGTTTACTTTTAACAACACAATATATTCTGATGCACAAGAATTGGATGTTTTTCTTTCAAAACACAAACATGATAAATTAGGATCAGCTGCTTTAACCTTCCCCTTTCTTCTGTCTACTAGGCCTGTCACAATAAATCAATTAATCAATTAATCGCATGATAAATTAAAAGAAACTCAATTTTTATTTGCTTGATTTATCGTTTTCCTCTTTTTTCTCTCTTTGTACCAAAAACTGAACGATAAAAGTTGTCAGTCTGGTGTTTTGATCTCAACTATCCCTTTTTTTTTTAAATAACTTTGTTTACAGAGACTTCATAATTCACTTTATTTGTCGTTTCTGATGTTTATTTTGGATATTTAAAATGTCTTTCAGTTCCAGTGTTAAATGTTCATTTGAGTTGAGAATATGTTCTTGTATTTTTAAGCCATTATTACCAAAATAAATGTTCTCAAAACAACAATGTTATCGTTTATCGCAATACGTTCTGGGACTATTGATCGACCAGCAAAATGTGCTGGACTGGCTTAGTAGTAACTAGTTACATTTACTTGAGTAACTCTTTTGAAAGCATGTACTTTTAGGAGTATTTTTACTACGCTGTACTTTTCACTTTTACTTGAGTAATTTATTATGAAGTGTTTCTACTCTTAGTCGAGTAAAATTTCTGGATTTTCTACCCACTGAATGAAAAACAAACATGTTTTAACCAAAAAAATAAAAATCACCAGACACACACACCTGCAGTTTCTGTTAAAGATTTTATTGAAAGAAACTGATTTGGAAAAAAAGTTATTTTAACTGATTGTTATTTTTCTTACTTATATGAATCATTATCATTTTTGTCCTTAAAATACCAAAATTTCGGGTGTGCTGTGGTGGCGCAGGGGTTAAGCACAACCCACATATGGAGGCCTTGATGCAGCTGTCGCAGGTTCGATTGGTGTCTTCCCCCTTCTCTCATTACCCACTTTTCTGCCAATTAACTATCAAATAAAGGCCACTAGAGCCAAAAAAAACACAAAATTTCCTCTTAACTTTACATTTTGGTCCACCTGATGGTGTAATTTTTAAATATTAAATTATTGATAATTTGATAAGTTACTCAGAATTTGAGTAGACTTTTTACTAACTTGAGTAATTTCTTTAATGGCTAGTTTTTACTTTAACTTGGGTAAAAAAATTTTGAAGTAGTGTTGTTCTTAGTTAAGTATAACTGGGATCTTCTGCCTCACTTTATGACACTTTGTGACACATATTTACGTCTCGATGGGTCCAGCAGACTTACATAGGGAGTCTGGAGATCATTCCAGCAGAAAGGGAGGTGAGACCGTCACTCAGCGTAACGACAGGGCTTCCTGTCATCAGCGCACCCACCACCATCTCCAGCAGCATCAGTCCCACAAAGTACGGCATGGCCTGCACACACACACACACACACACACACACACACACACACACACACACACACAGAGTCAGGACGCAGCTTGAACAAGAATAACACCATTTCAAGTCCTCTGTTGCTTTTACTAGCTGTACTGAAAGGGAGTATTTGTTTTGGCGGATGAGCTGAAACCTTTCAGGACTTTCATGTCTTGTGGTCTGTGATGTTTGTTTCGCTGAACGGGACCAGAGCGGCAGGTCCGAAGCCACCGTGATTTGGCAGGTTTAAAAACGCAAACATTTATGCGAACAAAGCAGCGATGGAGGGAGGAATGAGCTCAGTGGATGAATTACACATCAGTGCTAACAAACTGTAGAAAGTAGTAACGTCAGAAAGAAGCCAAGTAAAATAAATGCAGGATGGTCAGTGATAAAATGCAGCCAAACAAAGTAATCTGTCTAGCATTCAGTTATTTCCAGAATATGTTGCTTTTAGATATATTAGAAATGTCATAAAGTTTCCAGAAAGGCTGGATTTATATTGTTTGACCCAACATGTTGTAGAAAAGGCTGTCAGAAATCCTCACTCAGAAAATGTGACAATTTTCAACTTAAAGAAAACATGGGAACAAAGTGACAATATAATTGAATAGACAGATCTACAACTTTAAGTAAAAACTATTGATTTAATTATGTTTGTGTGGCCTGGAGTTTCCATTGGGTAAAATGTATTTATTATTCAACACTGTTGACCTTACAGATACGATATAATTAAATCCTACTTAGTAATTTTAAGCCTAATATTTTTACAAAAATAAGTAAATGCAATTTTATCAAATCAACATAATAATATACCAAATTACACAGTCATTTGTTTTTACTGAATATGCTTCTAGTATTTATTTTATAAATATTAATTTAGCATTGTTTTCCCTGAGTGAATCAGATGGAGTCAGAAACTAGTTAAGTGATTTAATCAAATGCGACTGTGAAAGTAGATTTTCCTTGATTGAAAGTCTTGATATGCAATTGGAAATATGTTCAGATTCATGTCAAAGTTAAACCTGGGCAGAGCGCTTAACTTGTTTTTCAAGTTTATTCTTAAAATAAACCTGATAAGAAGCTGGATTTTTAGTCATCAGAGCATCGGCACATACAACGACTTGATACAAGAGTACTGTTGGTTTAAAATGAATGTTAAACTCCACAAGACTCCAAATTCAGTTCAGCAGCAGAAATACCAGCCAGATGTTCAAATTCAACAGAATCAAAAAGTGGAAAATGTGGGAAACATTACAACTAAAAAAATAAAACATAATTAAAGCTCCGCGGAGCCT